TCCTTGCGGCACGGATCGTCGCAACATTGTCGACACTCGATGGTGCAGTACGGAAGGCGGTCCTGGCGAGAATGACAAGGGCTTAAAGTAGATCGCCTCCTCGTCAAAGCCGACCAAAGTGCCGTCGTCCGAGGTGGGCGAATGGGCCTGTGTATTTCGACGCGTTGGTGGGACGGCAATGACATTCTGCGGTGGGACTTCCTCCGAGCTGTGTTGCCGCCTCGTTCCCGACGATGTCAGTCGTCGTTCGGAGCGTGGCGGAGGATCTGAGTAACAGTCCGTGTATATGGAATCCGTATCACTGGGCTCGAGGAGAGCTTGATACTGGGCCGCAATGAGGTCAACGCTCGTGGCTTTCCTGGCTTCGGTGGAGTGCCGCCCGAATGAGCCTGCCTCCAGCTGGCCAATGGATGTGACCGGGGTCTTTGCCTGACGCCTGACACTGGAAGCCGTCGAAGTTGAAGAGGTCGGAGAGTTGACACCAAAACTATTAAGAAGCGGCCGAGGAGGTGTGTTGTTAACAGCGAGATGTTTGAATTCCGGTATGATCGTTGGTGTCTGCTCGACGTTGCTGGCATCGGCTCGTTCCTGAAGAGGACTAAGTCCTGGCAACGGTGACGATGAGTCCATCGCCAACATGCCACTCCGCCGTAGGTACTCTTGCCATTTGGCATCACTCAGATCTGGCGGCACGCGGGGAGACGAAGCGATGGGTTGTATCGTTTGCTGTACCACAGGATTGGCACCAGCCTTGAAACTCAACGACAGGTTACTGGAGGCCGACCGCCGGGAAGGGTTCTTTTGGAGTCTCTTTCTCATTTTCTCGGGCTTGGCCTGCTGGAGACCCGGCGAGGATGATGGTGCAGCTGAGTGGTTTGTGGAAATGCGTGTGCGATCCATCGATGATCGCTGAGCAGACGAACTGGTACGCGTGGATAGCTGAGCCGCTGACATTGTGATACGGGGTGTTAACGACGGCAGGGCTATGGTCTTTGCGCCATTGTGGAGGTTTTGGCATTATAAACGAGACTGGCGACATGTGAAGCAAACGGCGACCTATGACGTTCGTCGACGTGTACTACAGTCTGGGGAAGGGTCTTGGGTCCAGGGATGATGAAAACAGGATTCGCCCTGCAAGGCCCTGGTGTCAGCCAACTCGGCTCACCTCACCATTTCGCAAAGTCAACTCTACATGGCTGTGCATGCGGCGGGGTATAATGCTTCTTCCTACACCCACCCTACTGTGGATGGGCCTGCACAGTTGAAGGACAATAGGTAGTTAATGGGAGCCGGCACACTTGTGCGCCTCGTTCGAAATGGGAAAGGTGAGGCTTGCAGGCCAGCTTCCCTGGGAGGACGAAAGCAATCAGGGCGGGCGTGCATGTGGAATGACCACAACGAATGATGGTGGTGGATGAAAGTTGACGGGGTTCATCTTGGCCAGGTTTTGGCCTGCAGACTGCAACCTTCAAGCCATGCAGCCTGTCAAGCTGGACGCCAGGGGGCTTGAGGCCCACGTCATTGTTTCCATCTCGTCACGTGGCTCGAACCAAGCAGCATTGTCAATTACGAGCCTAACCTTGCTTGGCACATCTGGGTATCAATCACGGCTCCTCAGGAGATGCCTAGTAATGATAGCCTTGCCCTCCCCAGATGGCTTATGACGATTGGGCCAGGCCAAAGATATTCAGGACCCAGTACGGATGCCAAGTATCGGTACCTGTCCCGGCGCATTGCCTCACCTGGCTGGCGGTTCTCCACTGTCAACTTCCCACATAGCACCTTAGCAAGGACTCTCACCTTCACAGCCGGCCGTATGGATTATTGGGAACCAAAGCTTCGATATGGCTTCTAGAAGAGTGTTCGTCCCCCGTGACGCTTTCTAGTCACTGTCCTTCAGACAGCTCCTTTCCTGTTGGGCACAGCTAAGGGTCGATGCATGCTCCTCGGCACATTTCTCCGACCGGCACACCGGCAACAGTTCAATCTATTTCTCGCCGTTAACCTTTTCCGCCAGTAACTCTTGGCCCATGGCTGCACAAAAGTATCTCGTGATTCGATTTCTTCAGTACCAATTTGACCTATGTTGAGCATTCGATTTTGAAGAATCTGCATATTGAATGCCGTTGGGCGAGACGGGTGACGGAGTGAGGAGGAAGCAACACAAATGGCTCACCCATTCATCGCGTCCTAAAGATAGTCCCGACTGGCCCTTGGTTCGGCCTCCCGGCTTCGATCCTGTTGTGACAACGACTTGTCTGTCAGGCATCTTGATCATACGACCAGAAAAAAAGGCGTCGGCATGGGAAGACGGTCGGGAGACAAAACAACACGGCGTACACGAGCGGCATCGACTCCGCGCGTCGTGGGTTCCAGGCCATCGGGCTGAGGTGCTAGACCATGGCTTGGGTAGGTAGCGCAATGAGCGCAATGCGATAATTTGTCCCTCCCACTCGACTGTATCCGTCGCGTCTCGCACCCCCCTAGCGCCCCGAACGCCCTGTCCATCTCAGCAGCCGACGGATAATTTCTCCATCAATCAAAACCTTTTCCCGAGGGTAGCAGCCGGACCCGGCACGGACAAGCGTCCCTCTCACCACTCTCGAGGTCGCCAGGGCCGTCCTGCCCACTAATCCCCACTTCGACCCCTCCTGGTTACCCCTCCCCCTCTATTCCATGCAGCATCAATTGGCACGCTCCAAGGTGCCGTCACGTATGCCGTGGCCCCTTGCTGATCCCTGCCGTTCCGTATGGCGCGTCCTGGCTCAGAGGTAAAGCACCTGACGAGCCGATCTCTAGACGCGGGGTGAGTTTGCAATGGGCGAGCAGAACGAGGACGAAAAAGTAGGCACGCAAAGGTATATATAACTTCACTCGCCACGCCTCACTTTGGGCCATTGTCATCTTTGTCTGTCTATCATCACACACCTCCTTCACGCCCTCTCCTTCCCCTCTTCCCCACCACACGACTGCCAATATGGCCCAAGAAATCACCATCACCGGGTGGAGCACCCGCGATGTGAGGTTCCCTACGTCGCTCGACAAGACTGGATCCGACGCCATGAACGCTGCCGGCGACTACTCCGCCGCCTACTGTGTCCTCGAGACTGACTCCGAGTACAGCGGCCACGGCATGGTGAGTGCTCCCGTCGTCTCGACATTCTTTTTGTTTGCCGCATCGCTTCGGATTCCCTGACTGACAATCTTCCTCAACAGACCTTCACAATTGGTCGCGGCAACGACATCGTCTGCACAGCAATTGACTACCTCGGCGACCGCATTAAGGGCAGGACTCTCTCATCTCTGGTCGCCAACTGGGGCGAGACTTGGAGGTACCTGGTCAACGACAGCCAGCTCCGATGGATTGGCCCTGAGAAGGGTGTCATTCACCTGGCTCTTGGCTCCGTTGTCAACGCCATCTGGGATCTTTGGGCTAAGGTCCTCGGCAAGCCCGTCTGGCGCATCGTCGCCGACATGTCCCCAGAGGAGTTTGTCCAGTGCATCGACTTCCGCTACATCACCGACGCCATCACGCCCGAGGAGGCCACCGCCCTCCTCAAGGAGCAAGAGGGCGGCAAGGCCCAGCGCATCAAAGATGCCGAGAACAACCGCGCCGTCCCCGCCTACACCACCAGCGCCGGCTGGCTAGGCTACGGAGAGGACAAGATGAAGGGCTTGCTGCAGGAGACCCTGAGCAAGGGTTACAGGCATTTTAAGCTCAAGGTCGGCAGCAACGTTGAGCAGGACAAGAAGAGGCTGACCATTGCGCGCGACGTCATTGGGTATGACAAGGGCAACATTCTCATGGTCGACGCCAACCAGGTCTGGTCGGTGCCCGAGGCCATTGCTTACATGAAGGAGCTCAAGGAGTTCAAGCCCTGGTTCATCGAGGAGCCCACCTCTCCCGACGACATTCTCGGCCACAAGGCCGTCCGCGAGGCCCTCAAGCCCTACAACATTGGTGTCGCCACGGGCGAGATGTGCCAGAACCGTGTCGTCTTCAAGCAGCTCCTCATGGCTGGAGCCATTGACGTGTGTCAGATCGATGCTTGCCGCATGGGCGGTGTCAACGAAGTTCTCGCCGTTCTCCTGATGGCCAAAAAGTTCAACGTGCCCATCGTCCCCCACTCCGGCGGTGTCGGCCTGCCCGAGTACACCCAGCACCTCAGCACCATTGACTACGTTGTCGTTAGCGGCAAGCTCTCTGTGCTCGAGTACGTCGACCACCTCCACGAGCACTTCCTCCACCCCTCGGTCATCAAGGACGGCTACTACCAGACGCCCACCGAGGCCGGCTACAGCGTCGAGATGAAGCCCGAGAGCATGGACCAATACACGTATCCCGGCAAGGAGGGCGTCAGCTGGTGGAGGAGTGAGGAGGCCAGGCCCATCATCGAGGGCGTCAAGATCTGAGCGGAACATGTTCTGCTCAAGGGGTCAAGCGGGAGACGCTTGTCCGCAGGGCAACGATGGCATCCTGTATGGCTGAGGTAATCCAGTCATCCTTTGTGTACCGGGTGGCAAAACCTGTCTGCCCGTGGCTGCAAGGAGGAGTATCGCAAGGGGTCTGGTCGACGAAGAACGATCAGTCCGCAGGGCAACGATGGCATCCTGCATAGCCGGTCTCGACGGCTATCCGACCATATCACGTCGCGTCGGCCAGATTGCTGGCCGTGGGGGGGTCTGACAAAGAGTCAGTCCGCAGGGCAACGATGGCATCCTGTATGGCTCACCATGTGGCCATCCCTGCCGGTTGAGAAGATACAACCCTTGTGGACTCTTCTCATCTGGTGTAAGCACTGGGGGGTGAGGTTCGCGGGAGAAGGGGGGGTTTGGCTGGGGGTGGAGGTAAGCCATTCCGCAAGGCAACGATGGCATCTTGTATAGACTGAGCGCGAGCTCACTTTCTATCCCCGCGGCTATTCGCAATGCAAATATTAAAAAATTGATTCGCCAAGAGAAGCCTTTCATTTCCTGTCGTGACTTTGGACCAGAGTGGCCAGGAGAGAGTGGAGCCCAAGTGCTCAAACCAGGGGTCCTTCGCCAGATCGGGCACGGACCTGGTGCAACTGGTGCTGCGTTGAGAACCACCAGTGATCAGCGAGTGAGCACGTGTCCCCGTTCGCAAACGACGCTCATCCACCGTACCACATCTGGGACTTGACTTGACAAAGTAGTTTCTTGGCTTTGCCATCACATTTTTCTCTTTGAACTTCAGCAGCCGGCTGTTGGAAGGTCTATTTTCTTCTCTTGTATTTCTGGTCATCGATTCCCTCTACGCGTGTCGGTCGGTGCGTTCTCTTCTTGTAGACTCAGAGCCTGACGGAACCGTACTTTCCCCTCCGACGTCACTGCACCTCATCGACAACACCACGTTCGACATGGCCTCCAAACGAAAGACCGGAAAGATTGACGATCTCACGCCTCAGCCTGCGAGCCCCGAGCAATTCGAGAATGAGCTCAAGAGTCTCGCCTCGAAAGCCCAGAAGGACTCGGGAGAGTCCTGGATCCTCAAGCAGCTCGCCCTCTATTTCAAGACGACTACTCTGCTCATCCTTGTGGCTGCCTACTCCAACGTGTCTTACCTGACTCTTTCGCCAGTCTATGGATCGATCCCATCGTCAGTATGGCATTCCAAGGTCATCATGGGCGCAGCGTTTGCCGGATGGTCTGGAAACATCTGGCTCAACCGCGCACTGCCCATCAAACCCGCCCATCTCCTGCCCGTCATTGCCATGTGGATCCCCACGATCCAATTCTTCCTTTTCGGCTGGAGCAACACCTTCACAGCACATTATGGGCCGCTTGTGACTGAACTGCTCACTTTGTTTCCCCTGGTTGCCATATCTGCCGCCACCGTCGCCACAATGTTGGAGGATGCTGATCTCTCTTTCCTGCCCCAATTCTTCGCCGAGGCCGGACCAGGTATCGCATCGTGGCTGATCCTCAAGCTTTTTGAGACCTCACGGACGGCGTGATTCAGGCATTCATCGGGCAAGCCTTCTTCACGACGCGAATCGGGCTTGAGCTTCTGCTGGCGCTGCATATGCCTTGTTCGCGCCCTCGAACCTAATCGTGGTGTCCCTGCCAGCGCTGTACCACACAGCCATGCACAACTACCATGTCATGTCCCCTGCTGCCACTGTGGGCCTCAACTACACGCTGCAGGCTGACAATTGGATCCTTCTGGACCGCAGGGAGTCACTGACCGGCTACATTTCCGTCATTGAGAGCCTTGACAAGGGGTTCCGCGTCATGCGCTGTGATCACTCGCTCCTTGGAGGTGAATGGATGAAGGTCAGGCCTACGGATCCTCGTGTGGCTGAGCCCATCTATGGCGTTTTTGTTATGCTCGAGGCCACCCGACTTGTTGAGGTTACAAGCCCCGTTCCTGACAATGAAGCCAAAGCTCTCGTCATGTAGGTCTCTCTTGGCCGCATGTCATAGTCCACGCTAATGTAAACCAGCGGCCTGGGTATTGGAACGACGCCAGCGGCTCTCGTCGCGCATGGCATTGATACGACTGTCGTGGAGATTGATCCAGTGGTTCACGAGTTCGCTTCCAAGTATTTCCAACTGCCCAAGAACCACACAGCGGTTATCGACGATGCCGTCAGCTACACGGCTTCTCTTGTCAACGATGCGGAAGCTCAGTACGATTACATTGTCCATGATGTGTTCACCGGCGGCGCCGAGCCCATCCCTCTTTTCACCCTGGAGTTCCTCCAGGGACTGAGCTCCTTACTGAAACCTGACGGCGTGATCGCCATTGTGAGTGATGAAACCCGCCGTCTGGCCCCCAAACACACATGCTGACCAATCTGAGAACTACGCTGGCGACTTTGTTCACCCAGCTCCTAGGATCATCGTCAACACTATCCGGGAGGTGTTCCCTTCGTGTCGTATCTTCCGTGAGTCGGCCGCTCCCGACGAAGAGACTTTGGCAAAGGACAAGAAGGATTTCACCAACATGGTCATCTTCTGCAAGAAGACTTCTGGTGGCATCACGTTCAGGAGGCCTACAGAGAGCGACTATCTGGGCAGCAGGTCCCGGCGCGCGTATATGATGCCGCAGCACGAGGTGTTGGACGCCAACTTCAAACTCGGCGCCGAGGACGGCATCCTCAGGAACAACGACACGGCTAAGCTGGCGCAGTGGCACCAGAAGAGCGCACTGGGTCATTGGGAGGTCATGCGTACGGTGCTGGACCCCAAGATCTGGGAACTGTGGTGATGGGCTCAAGGCTGACAGCACGAGACTCCCATTCTATAATTTGCTGGTTTCTGCGCCATGCTGTTTCTGAGCGATCATCCACCGCCCGTGGCTGTCGTATTATCGATGGCTAGAAGCACAAACATATTACCTGCCTTCCCTTGCCTCCCTTCTTGCTTCCTTGGCGGTCTGCTGTGCCCTGTCATGCTTGCCTCTACTTAATCGTCAACGGGTTTCTTTCCCGGCTCTGCAGAGGCTTCTGCAGCCTTGACCGAATGATCCACCCCGATTTCGTTCATGCTCTTGATGTACTCCTCCAGGTAGACAGGCACCTTGTCCACGGCATTGTACGGCCCGGGGATGGGAGCTCCTAGCGACATGTGCACGGGCACGACGCCCGTCCAGACGTTGCTGACGACTGCCGGGTTCTCCATGTCGTGCTTCTCGTCTCCCGGGGGACCGGAGCGGATCTTGGCGCTGCCGGTAGCGATGCGGACCCTGAGGACGCTCGTTGAGCTCATCTCGGCCTTGTTGGGGGGGATCCTGCTGTTCTGCCAGCGGCTGGCGACGACGCTGTCGGTGATGAGCTCCATGGCGTACAGCTTCTCGTCATCGGCCTCGACCAGGGTCGCGTGGCCGAAGAGGACGGCGGAGCGGTAGTTGTAGCTGTGGGAGTTGGGGGTCAGCGCGAGGACGAGGCCGTCGACGTGGGTGGCGGCGACGGTGACAGGCAAGCCCGAGGGTGAGTCATCGGTCGCGGGACGGCGGGTCAGGTTCATCACGCGGGAGGAGACGTAGCCATGGAGGTAGAGATCGAGCACGTCGCCCTCGTCGGAGGAGGGGCGGTCGAACGAGCCCATCTGACCGATCATGGGAAGGATGGCCGGGAAGGGCGAGTCGGGGGAGTTGAAGGAAACATGAAGCGTGGGGCACGTGTTGACGATGCTGTGGATGACTCTGAGGGAGTATGAGGCTGTGGGCCATGATGAGTTGACTCTGCTCCCGGTGAGGGCGCCATGCTGGGTGACTCACCTCGTGGGCTGTACCGGTTCACGGTGCCGAGGGGCCGTTTGGGGTACTCGAGCTCAGCGCGCGGCATGGTGAGATGTGTAATTGTGGGACGGGATCACAACGACTACGCTCTTGTCTGGGTGGCTGGAAGGAAAGGCTGGACCTGAAGGGGCAGGTTACAGGTCTGTCAGAGTGAAGGATGGGTGCAGGGCAGATATAGTTCAAGGGCTGAGGATGCTGTGCTGTGAGAGTGACCGGCCCGGGTTCGTCATGCCGGGCTCCGGGGCCCCCGCATTTTGTGCCGAACGCCGCTGGCTTCCGTCGGACAGTGCCGTTAGGTCGACTGCACCTCACTGGACACTGTACGAAGCATGCTGACGTGCCCAAGCACGTGCTTCGGACTTGGGGTGTTTCACAACGGCATCTCTTTCCCTTGCTATTTTCCCGTCCTCCCTACCAGGTGGATTGCAAGGGAACAAAACAGTGGCTGACATGAAATCCCTATAAGCAGCATATCAATCAGCATGCCGTACGGGAGGGCACTTCTGTTCAGCTGTTGTTCAGTTTCAGGGACTCTAGGGACCCGGGCATTACGTCGACTCAACTTTGTTTCGGCAATCCGCTTGCCTGCCTACTAGTAGTACCTGCCTTAGGTAAGAAAGCAGGGGCAAGGAAGAGCCTTTCCAAACCGTCTGGTTATAGCTGCACGTCGCTCGACCAGAGCTTCTTCATTAGTCCTTCTCCACGACACGGATCACGGAATGCAACATGGTCGACCATCCATCGATCGCAATGCTTTACTCTATTTTGTTGTTGCATCTCATCTGATAACCCAAAAGAGACGGAAAAAGCTCACGACTGTCGACCCATGACCCACGAGGTCTGACGCTGTCAGTTTCAAGGGTGAAACACCCACACTCGGCGCCACGCCTTTAGGAGGCCCTCGAGCCCTGTCAGCCCAACCATGGCCAATGAAAGGCCCGGTCGTCTCTCAAGTCCTCTGGTGCCTCAACGTTGTCTTGAGACTGGGGTTGTTTGATGCTCGATGCTCGATGCTGTGCCTGTTCTATTCCCACCCTGCGTCCCTCCCACCAGCGAGCCCCAGAGACACACTCCGTAGGCTCGACCGAGCGTCTGTCCGCCCTGTGCTTTCTTTGTCCCGTTGCTGTCGCTTGCAGGCCAAACTTTCTACTCCTCCCATCTCGTCCATCTTGCCTACTGGTTGCGGAAGGTGTCGATCGAGCTGACTTTCCTGCGTCCGTCGTTCGCGTGCCGTCATGCTTATCGTGTAACGTCAGTATCGCCAACATGGTCGCTTTTCTTTTTTACTAGCCTTCACTTCTTCCTTTCCCTATTGATTGGGGCTTTCCCTTCGTCACCGGCCGGTTCCGTTCGCCGCCCCGGCGCTTTTTCTCAACAATGTCGTTCCCTGCCACCAGTCAGGCCCTGAGCGCTGCCTTTACCTTGTCAGTCAACGCCGCCATGCACTTCATCATCCATGCCGAATAGAAACAACGCCACGAGAACCACGGGGATGAGGGTGCGATTCGGGGATGTGATCAGCTAATCTTGTGTTACGCGCAGTGGCATCGTCTTCAACTCGGCCTCCGCCGCTCTTTATCTTTGTATCCAGGGGCAGGGCACCAAAGTATTCCGGGACGGCCTGAGGCTGGTCCTCATCACATTCCTTGCTGGTGCCGCCCTCTGGGCCCAGATCGACTTCATCGCGACCCTCATCGACCCCTCCTCGTCTTTGGGATGTCAAGTCGCCGTCACTTTCGCCTCCTCCTTCGACCAGATCGCGCGCCTTGCCCTTGAGCAGTACCTGCTATGGGCCATCAACAGTGGTCTCAAGCCGTCATCCGACACCTTCATCCCCCAGGCCCTCCTTGTCATTCGCCTGCTTGTCGGAGTCGTCTTTGTCGCATTTCAGCGGACTCAAGTCCTGCCCGTCTGCCAGCCATCGAACAACATGACCGCCATTGGTATCGCTGTCGGCGCCACAGACGCTGTCATTCTCGCCCTTTTCGTCCTCCGCGCTTTCAAGACCGGACTGGTTCGAGACTACCGCGAGAAGCGCCCCGGCCATCAGCGCGCCAGAGCTGTTCTGATGCTCCTTGTTGGGCTCGCTTTGTGGACAGGGGCGAGTGTCCCGCTGTTTCTCGGCATTCCGACGATCGATATCATCTGGCGTACAGCTCTGCCTGCAGCAGCCCTCAGTCTTCTACTCGGTATAACGCTCTACATATGTCTCATCGCGAGATAAATCACAGCTAACACAGGATAGCCCTCGTTGCCGCTTTTCTAGGGCCTCTGGTTCTCACCAAGGCTCACGCATCTGGTTTGCCCCAAAACTCTGCCTCCTTGCCCGACGACTTCCAAGATCCTACCTCACAATCTCGCGACCTATCTTCTTCTGAGTCAAACTTCCCCCCCAACCGATATGAAGATCTGAAGACTGGCACGACGACCTCGATTACAGCCACGCGCGCTTTTGATGCCGGGAATGGAGCTGCCGGAGCCGGCTTTGCGGGTGTTGCCGTCGGCGCCATGGCTTGGCAAGAACGACAATCGTCTGAAGGAAACTCCCGAGCACAGTACCAGAGACCCAGGGGCGATGCTACCACCGGTGGCACAACCGCGGGGAAGCTTATCATCTCTCACCCTATCCTGCAAAACGTAGGCGAGGACAGTCCTTTCAACAAGATTGCTACCATCGATCTCGCCACGGCCGCCAGAAATGAGAAGGAGCGACGGAACCTTGCTGCTCTGCAGGAGCCCACGGCCTTGATCGCGCAGCGTGCAGCCCCTCGACCCCCAGGCCTCACCGCTGAGGAAGCCATCAGGAGATCTCAGAGCAAGATGAGGCGCAAGGAGATAGGCCGGACATCGCAGGACAGCACTGAGCCCCGGTCGTCTGACGAGCCAAATAGACTAATGCCTAGCGCGACCGTCACATCCAGCCAAACTTCGCCAGGTATTGATTCGCTCCGTCGAAGATCTCCGCGACAATCGCCCAACGAACTCTCTGTGGCTGCAGAGGAAGATCAGTTGCCGTCTGGCGCGTCACTCCAGGCTGCCCACGTACAACACAGGACCCTGGAGGAGAAACAGCTGCCCCCTCGGAGATCTCTGGAAAGTTCGTCAAGCCAACAGACAGCTGTCCCCAGCATCTCGTCTTCTCAAACATCATTTGCATCGCCATCGCCCGGCAAGCAAACGGGCTCTCCACCTCGACCGGAGCTGCCCTCCACATGGCCGAAGCAGACCTCAGTACGAGATACCATCAGGCCGTCGAGAATGCAGGCTATGGCGGCTCGAAATCTTCCGGGAACCTCACCACAGCAAGCTCAGAGGGACAAAAACTCTTCTTCAGAAATGCCCCAGCCTCTTCCTCCACTGCAGAGACGTGGAACCGTCGGTCTTCCCTCCAACCCTCGAGCCCAAGGCATGAAAACTGCCGTCCAGGACGGCGAATCCCAACCAACCGTTCTGTTCATGAACCAGATTCAATACAATAACCCCGCTGCGGTACAAAGCATCATCGACGGAGCTGCTGGTAAGCTGCTCGTCACCGCCAATGTCAGGCCCGACGACCCCTCGCTTGACTTGGGTAAGGGAAGAGATTCAGTCGTTCACAGGCCGCGGCCTA